CCCCAAAACCCCAAAACCCCAAAACCCCAAAACCCCTAATCAAACAGATAATACTTAGAGTTCCTGATTTTTTGTTAAAAATTAATATCTAAAATGATTAAGTTTGGAAAATGGAGTTCAGGATTACTCAGAACAGCAAATAAGCCTTTGATGCTGTATAACAGAGCTTTCTTCTCTTCTTCAAGAGAGCCAAAGACTGCTATTTTGATGATGAATCTTGGAGGACCAAAGAGGTCTAAGGATGCAGCTCAATTTATGTATAACATGTTTACTGATCCTCAGACAGTTCCAATCTTTAAGAGAGTTCCAAACTTTCTTGTCAAGAAGTTCTGTGAAAGGTATTTGTCTGTTGAACTAATTTAATTCTCGTATTTTAATCTTTTCATCTTGTCACTTAAAAACACATGGCTCACATAATTTTTATAGAAGAGCAGCAAAAGGAGTAATGCAAAAGTATGATGAAATTGGAGGAGGAACTCCTCTCTACGACTGGACTGATAAGCAAGGAAAAGCTTTATGTGAAGAATTAGATAAGATGTCACCAGAAACTGCACCTCACAAGCACTATACTGCTTTTAGATACTCAAGTCCTAATGTGAGTGAGGCTGTAGAGCAAGCTGTTAAAGATGGAGTTAAAAATTTGGTTGGATTTTCCCAATATCCACAATATTCATGTTCAACTACTAATAGCTCCATTCAAGAATTCCATAGGTCAGTTGAGAAGGTTAAGCCAAAGGACGTCAAAGTCTCGGTGATAGATAGATGGTACCAAAATCAAAAATATGTGGATGTATTAGCAAGACTATTAGCAAAAGACTTCAATAAGAAATTTACTAAAGAAGAGCAGAAAACTGCATTGATCTTGTTTACAGCACATTCATTACCTCAATCTTTCGTAGACAAGGGTGACTCTTACCCATATGAGATCTATAATACCGCCCAGGCTGTCATGAAAGTCTTGAAAGAAAAATATCACATCGAGAATCCATACAGGGTGGTATGGCAATCAAGAATTGGAGCTAAATGGCTCAGTCCATCCCTCACGGATACTATTAAAAAGCTTCCAAAGAAAGGATGGCAAAATGTCATAGTTTCTCCTCTTGGATTTACTTCAGATCATATTGAGACCCTCCATGAACTTGACATTGAGATGATGGAAGATGCAGAGAAAGCTGGATTGAAGAATGTTAAAAGAGCACAAAGTCTCAATGCTTACCCTGATTTCATTGATGCATTAGCAGATATTGCCAACAGACACTTGAACAATGGAGAATATACTTCAAAGCAGCTTTTGCTTAGATGTCCATTCTGCACAAATCCAGAGTGTGATAGATTGAGGAAAGCATATGAGTCTATTTATTAATCCTCGAGAATTTCAATAAAAAGATTGTATAATGGGGTTTTGGGGTTTTGGGGTTTTGGGGTTTTGGGG